ATCACCGTTATCATGATCATTGTTAATCAGCATCGTCGTCATCACCATCACCTCTCCGTCACCATCAGCATCGCCATCGTCACCACCATCATTTTATCCACGTGTATTATCATCATCGTCGGCATCAGCATCGTGATCCTCATCAGCATCAATAACATAGGTCATCATTGGCATCGGCAGCATCAGCATCGGCATCCCCATCATCCTCCGCAAGAGCATAATCAGCATCAGCATCAGGAAAAAAAACACCAGCATCATCACCGCCACCACCATCCTCATCAGCATCACCGTCATGTTCATAATCAGCATCATAAGCATCATCGGCGGCACGATGTTCATCTTCATCGGCACCATCAACACCACCATCAGCACCATCATCATGAGCCACATCATCATCAGCATAATCATCCCCATCCTCATCAGCAGCAGCAGCAGCAGCATCAGAATCATCCGAACCGTCATCATCAGCAGCAACAACATCATCCACACCAGCACCATCATCATCAAATGTATCAGCAGCGTCATCAGAATCAGCATCATCATCAGCCGTATCAGCAGCATCATCAGCATCAACAGCATAATCACCATCACCCTTATCCACATCAGCATCACCATCCTCGTCAACATCGCCATCAACATCATCGTGTGCAGCACCATGATCATCAGCATCATCCTCAGCATCATCCGCATCAGCATCGCAAGCATCATGTTCATAATCATCATCACAAACACCACCATCATGAGCATTATCACCATTATCCGCATCACCCGCATCGTCAGCATCATCACATCGTCATCCGCGTCAGCATCAGCATCGTCAGCATCATCATCATCATCAACAGCGGGGGCAGCAGCATCGTCAGCATCAGTACCATAAGCATCATCATCATCATAATCGTCACCAGCATCACCATCATCTTCAGCATCAACATCAACATCATCATCACCACCAGCATACCACCACCCCCAGCATCATCGGCATCATCAGCATCACCGTCATCAGCACCATCATCATCATCATCATCATCATCATCATCGTCATCCGCAGCAGCATCAGCGTCAGCACCGTCATCAGCATCAGCATCAGCATCGTCATCGTTATCGTCCCCGTCATCATCATACCATCTGCATCATCCATGTCATCGCGATCGCCATCGTCACTTGAATCATCAGGACTCATCATTGTCATAATTACCCCCTTCATCATCACCACCATACTCGTCGTCATCACCACCAGCATCATCAGCATCATCAGCATCATCAACACCGGCATCATCAGCAGCATCATCATCAGCATCAATATCCGCATCACCACCATCCTCCGCAGCATCAGCATCATCATCATCATTCCCATGCGCATCCTGCTCCTCCATCTTCCGCCGGTCGTCGTCTTCGGCGTCGTCCTCCCCACGAGGAAAATCTGAAATCGGCTTGTGAACGTTCAGGGGAGCGCGTGTCCATACGCATCCCTTGCGAGCGTTTGGAAAGCTCGCCCGTACTGCATGCGGTCGCGATAACGCTGCAAGTCATTGCGCAATCCACCCCTTCTTTCACGCGCCCCCCTTTCATGTCAGGAAAGGTTCCTGAAAAGGGCGTCTCGCCTGAGACAGCCTCGCCCAGTCGCGATCTTGGGGGTCGCATCCAAGGACGTCTCATGCTAAATATGAGCGGATCGCCCGAACCATCCTCGGAAAATGAACATCTTGACATCGCTGGCCGAATTCCTGGAACTTCACACGCGGCCGCTTCGCCTGAGATATCCTCGACACAATAAAGTGCGCCAAGGGCTCCTCCAACGCATCTCTTCGGGGCGCTCTTGGATGACCTCTTAAATCACCCAAAAAGCGAAGGAACCGATAAAAACCAACGGGCGCTCTACACTTCGGCTCAAAAACCCAACGCTCGTTGAGAACACCCCGAACAATGCACTCGAACTGGCCCTCGAAACCACATGGTCTCCTCCTCCTCCTTCTCCTCCTCCTCCACTTCCCCCCCCTCCTCCTCCTCCTCTTCCTCCTCCTCCTCCTCCTCCTCCTCCTCCTCCCTCCTTCTCCTTTTCCTCCTCCCCCCCCTCCTCGTACTCCTCCTCATTCTCCTCCTCCTCCTGTTCTTCCAACTCCCCGTCTTCCTCCCCTTCCCCCTCATCCACCTCGTCTTTCTCGACCCCCCCTCCCCTTGTTCTTCATACTCCTTCATCCTCCTCCTCGTCCTTCTCCTCCTCCTGGTTCTCATCCGCCCCCTGATCCTGCTTCTATTCCTCCTCTCCCTCGTCCTACCCCCCCTCCCCTCCCCACCCTCTGATGCTGCTACTCCTGCTGCTGTTGCTGCCGCTGCTCCTGCTGCTGCTGCTACTGCTGCTGCTGCCATGGCACCGCTTGCGGTCAAGTCCGCTGCCCCCAGGCCGGGATTCGCAATCACCCTCGGTCTGCCGCCGCTCGGCCCTGCACCTCGCTCAGCTCCCCCGCGCCTCCAGCAAACGCCCGTCCGCCGGCGGCGCCCGCCGCCGCGCGCGTCCCGGCACGCTGCACCGAGCGGCCAGCAGCTGCGCGCCAACGCCGCGCAGAAGCGCCGCGCCCAGCTGCGCGCGCCAGCGGCGCAGGCAGTTGCCCGGGAGGCGGCAGCGGCGGTAGGCGCGGCGGGCCACCGCCGCAGCGCACCGGACGAGCAGGGCCTCCGCGCCCTCGCCGAGCCGGCCGAAGGTTTCGTGGGCCGCTGGCCAAACGCGGCGGCCGCGCGCCGGCGGGTAGCGGTCGTGCTTCGCCTGCTCCGCGGCGCGCGCCGTGCTGCCTGCGACCCGGGACGCAGCTGGCTGGTAGCGGTACTGCTGCTGCTGGTGCTGCTGCTGCTGCTGCTGCTGGCTGCTGCTCCTCCTCCTCCTCCTCCTCCTCCTCCTCCTCCTCCTCCTCCTCATCCTCATCATCATCATCATCATCATATCATCATCATCATCATCATCATCCTCCTCTTCCTCCTCCTCCTCCCTCCTCCTCCTCCTCCTCCTCCTCATCATCATCATCATCATCATCATCATCATCATCATCATCATCATCATCATCATCATCATCATCATCCTGCTCGGCCACCTCCTCCTCCTCCACCTCCTCCATCTGTTTCTCCTCCTCCTCCTCCTGCTCCTCCTGCCCCTCCTCCTCCCCTGGTCGTCAACTTCGCCATCGTCCTCCTCATGCGAACTCACAGGCACAAAGGGGGGGAAGGGGGGACAAATAACAAAAATATAGACACATGTACTTTCATTTATGGATACGTATGTATAGCATATAAATTTATATGTACACAGACCTGTATGCTGATATATCTAAACATACATATACATAAATACACATCAAAGGAGGGGTCCATGGAGGGAGCGGTGGCGGGAGCGCTCCGTGGCGGCGACGTGGCGGATGACGGGAGGCGCGCTGCTCGGACTCGAAAAGTCGCAAGATGGACATTGTTTACTAGCCTGGATGGGAACGCATTTATCAAGTGGGGGAGTCCAGGAGGGGGGGGAGTGGTGGCGGGATCGCTCCTCCGCGGCGACGTGGCGGATGACGGGAAGCGCGCTTAGACTCGAAGAGTCGCGCGATGGACGTCGCTTCCAGGCCAGGAGGGGGGGGGGGACGCTATCAAGTGCGGGGGTCCAAGGGGGGAGTGGTGGCGGGATCGCCCCTCCGCGGCGACGAGGCCGATGACGGGAAGCGCGCTTAGACTCGAAGAGTCGCGCGATGGACATCGTTTTCCGGCCCGGAGGGGAATATATTTATGAAGTGTCGGGGTCCAGGGGGGTCGTCGACATTGGCAACGATGTATCCGAAGGCCTTGCGAGTGACCTCGATTGTGTTGGCCTGCAGCGCCTTGGAGCGCTGCCCCCGCGACGTGGTACTCGTCGTCTGGCAGGTCGAAGATGTCACCAGCACCTGTGAACTCCAGCGGTTGAATTTTGTGGCCAGGATGTCACGCAGGCACAAGCTAGCAGTACGAAGACAATCATCATCAGACTTGAGCGGACAGAACGAAATGTGTAGCTGAGCGACCAGCTCTTTAAAATGTGAATATGTTTGCTCGAGTTCCTCCGGAATCTTCTGGACTGCAACTTGTTCCTCCGCAACCCCTGACCCCCGCTTGTCTAGCTACACGGGTTCCTTGTCGAGCTGTTTCTCGAAGTTGAGAACTGTTTGATGAGCTTGCCAAGTCCGCTGCTACAACGGCTTCTCCTCGGGCCCTCGCACGGCAGCGCGCTGCCTCCCCAACGCAATCTTAAAGTGGCTGGCGGCCGCCACGTCCCAGAGCTGTCCATTATCTTCTCGAGCTCGTCGACAGTGAGCTCCTAACCTGACGGCGTGGGCTGCAAGCCAGTCGCGAGGGGGCGGCGGCCCGGTTTCCAGGCTCCTCGAGGTTGGTGCTGTCCTCCAGCTCCTTGTCCATTGCTGTCCCTCGCGCTCTTGCAGAGCTTGCATAACCAATTGGACTCCAGGTCCCTGGCACATGAGCAATGCGGGCACTTCCAGAGCTGGAATATGCTGTCGCCATCGTCTGGCTACGATCCCCGGATCCCCCACCACTTGCTCTAGTGGTCGCTCCAGCGCTTGTCATTGAATTTGTTGGAGCGGCGTCCCCGCGGCGGCGTGGCATACCCCACGACCAGGGAATGGCTGGATCGGCTGAACTGGCTCGCTTGTGCAGCGCACCGTGATGAGGTTCGCACAAGCAAGACCCTCACGCCAAAATGGTCGGGACCCAGAACTGCTTGAGTCAAAATGGCTACGGAGGAGGAGGAGGAGGAAGAGGAGGAGCAGGAGGAGCAGGAGAAGCGCGGGGGACGAGGAAGACGAGGAAAAAGAGCCAGGAAGAAAGACAAAGAGGGAGAACGGAAGAGGAGGAGGAGGAGGAAGAGGAGAAGGAGGAGGAGCAAAAGGACGAGGAGGAAGAGCGAGAAGTTCCAGCTGGCACTTCGTGCACGCTTTGCGGAGGAGGGAGGTCGGCGGGGCCCCCGCGCCCGCCAGGGTGCCGAGGCAGTGCCTCAGGAACACGTCCTCGCCCCAGATGGTCCACTCGTGGCTCAGCTCGGAGACGCACCTGGCCCGCGCGAGCGGTGGGGGGAGGGGGGGGGTACGGCAGGTCCGTGCGGCTATGACTTCTGCCATGAGCGTTGACACGACACGACACGAACCTACCGACCAGAACTTCGAGAATCCGGCGACGCAAGCTCTACTTCGAGAACTTCGAGAACTTCGAGAACTTCGAGAACTTCGATAACCTCGAGAACTTCGAGAACTTCAAGAACCTCGAGAACTTCGAGAACTTCGAGAACTTCGAGAACTTCGAGACCAGAACTTCGAGAACTTCGAGAATCCAGATGAGCGGTGGTATCGGTACCTTCTCATCCTCTGACAAGCCGCACCGCCGATGCATCGCCGACGCGGCGCGGTCCTCCTACCCTATCTGCTCCGACCCCTGTACGTCGACAGCTTCGCACCGATCGCGACCAGTTGCGATCGGTCCGAAGTGATTGCGACGTTTTGGGGGGGGCGCTTCAAGAAGGTTTCGATTAAGGAAAAGATCATCAGAGCGCTTCTGGATGCAGCGAGCTCGATTAAGCTTCCCAATGAAAATCTTAAAAAGCGGATGCGATCCGTCCGATCACCGACCACCCACCACCATCACCACCACCACCATCATCATCATCATCATCATCATCAGCATCAGCATCAGCATCAGCATCAGCATCAGCATCAGCATTATCATCATCATCATCATCATCATCATCATCATCATCATCATCATCATCATCATCATCATCATCACCACCATCATCATCATCATCATCATCATCATCATCATCATCATCATCATCATCATCATCATCATCATATCATCAGCATCATCATCATCATCATCATCATCATCATCATCATTGTCGAGCCGAGGCGACTCGAGCGAAGTTTTGAGTCAACCTCTCCTTCCTCACTCTCTCTTTTGCCGCCGCCTCCGCGGCTGTATGGGATCGAGGAGGGGGCCCCCTCTTTTGTGCAGAGAGCGCGGCAGACACGCTCGCCGGCACGGGCCGGCGCCAGATGCTCGACGGACGAGCACAGCACATCTCATCGTGCAAAGTACAGCGTCGACGTTAATCACGACATTGGTATTGCGGAGCTTGATCCACGGACCAGTTCTGGTGGTCCCCAAGGGACCAGAACACCATGGAGCGAGACGACAAGAAGGCAAAGGACGCCATCCCTGAATGGGACGGCAACCCAGGACGTTGGCGACACTTCGAGACGGCAGTGAAGTGGTTCCCTCGCACGCTGAAGAAGCAGGACAGGGACCTAGCGGCGAACAGGATCATCGGTCGCATGCTACAGAGCAAGACGATAGCCATACGGACGTTTGCGACCACCTTGGATCCAGACAGATATGAGAATCCGAACGGCCACCTCCTCCTCTTAGACGATCTGAGGAACAGTCCACTGGGAAAGCTACCTATCCCAGATGCGGCCCACAAGATTAAGCACTACTACAAGGACTTCAAGCGCCGCAAAGGCGAGACAGTGGGCGCGCTCCTGATCCGGGAGCAGGACTGTTACTCAGAGATGATCCAGGCGCTGGAGCGCCTCTTGGAGGAGATGGGCGACAATGACAAGTACAAGCAGTGCCGAGAGTGCTACGGTTACTTCGACAGAGACCGTGGCGCAGCCGGACGTGGACAATGGTACTGCCAGAGGTGCTGGGACCACTGGGAACCCAGCCCCGATGCGCCAACGCCCTCAGAGGATGCCCCTGCGGAGGATGCAGAAGAAGCAGATGAGTATGAACGACAGTCGATTACGTCTCGCTCGCAGGGCTCTCGAACGGATCGATTTCACCGACAAGAATCCATGGCCAGCAAGCTCAAGGTTTCGGAAGCGATGGCAGTGGGCTCCACATTCTTCGGCCATGCTTCTGGAGTCCTGAAGGTCCTCCGCGGTTTCTTCCTGCTCGAGGCGATGGACTTCACCGAGAAAGAGAAGCAGGACGTCCGCGTGGTCACGCAGAATCGCTTGGATTTCGATGCAGTCTCCAAAGCTTTGAAGGAGAGATGGGAGGACAAGGCGCTGGTGCAGCGGGACTTCGGACCGAGGGCCATGCCTCGGTACGGCCCGGAGTCGAGCCCTCAGTCAGCCCTCGCTGCAGAGTTTGACGACGCACACGGACCGGACTGGTATGACGGCTACGCAGCGGCAGTTCAGGCGTGGGAGAACGACGGTTACGACCACGAGAACGAGGACGACTACGACGTCGTGGAGGAGCCGCAGCTCACCTCAGAGCCAGAGGAGTCCGAGGCCATGGACGAGGATCTCAACCATCTCAACGAGGAGCTTGAGGCGGCCCAGGCGATGGCAGCCGAGGCTTCACGTACTCTAGTTCAAGCCAGGCAAGCAGTGGCCGCAGCTCACAAAGATCGAGGATTTGGCAAGCCATCATCGAGTCCAGGAGGGAAGAGCCGCCTTCCCCCGTCGTGGCCACACCAGCCGCCCTCGAGACCGCCGTTCAATGGTCGAGGCCCCAAGGGCAGCAAGAGCGGCAAGAACGGCAAGGGCAGCAAGTACCGCGACAGGGACCACGACCAGAAGGGCAAGAATGCGAACTACCTGGAGTTTCACACGATTACGCACGGGTTTGACGAGCTCCAGGGGCTGTACCAGGCGGAGCTGACCGACAACGGCCTCGCCCCCTCTGAGGCCATGGTTGATTGCGGGGCTTCTGCGTCCGCCGGAGGCGAGCGCGCAGTCCAGGCCCTGGTCGCCGCCGTTGCGGCTGCGAACCCGCAGGCCAGGATCGAGATCAACAAAAATGAAAGACCGTGGTTTCGTTTCGGAGACAATAAGTGGGGCAAAGCACTGTATAAGGTTTCGGTCGAGTTCGAGCCGGGCTTCGTTCTGGGTATTTTCGCTCTCAGTCCTGGCGTGCCTCTCGTTCTGTTGGGAATGACCGCTCTGGAGTCGTGGCCGGCAATCGTGAATTTCCGAACCGGGGAGGCTGTGATCAGGGGTCAACTGGTGCAGCTTCGCAAGACTCCAGGCAAGGGCCATTGCATCCTCGATCTGGTGAAGCACGTTTCCGAGATTTTAAACCCGACCGCGGAAAACACCGAGGGTCTTGCAAGGGCGTTTCAGAGATGGTCGATGGCAAAGACCACATCACCACCATCAGCATCATCTCAGACAAGAACGACATCACCAGCATCATCTCAGGCAAGAACGACATTATCAGCATCATCTCGGACAAGAACGACTTTATCAGCACCATCTCAAACCAGAACGACATTATCAGCATCATCTCAGATGAGAACGACACCATCATCAGTATATACGGCATTAACGACAACACCATCATTGATAACAGCAACATCACCTCCATCAACCATAACAGGGAGGGCAGCTCCATCATGGTCATCCCATCCTCCGCCGTCTTTTGGCTCTGGAACTCGCTCTGAGCGGATTTCGGCAACCCGCAAGCCGACGTTTCAGTCAGAGCGTTTCCATGGAGGGCAAGGACGAATGGGTACCTGTCGACATAGATGCCGACAAGAAGGAGGAGGGCCCGGAGGTAAAGTCACCTTCGGCGGCAGCGAGCTCCGGACCTACGACCCAGGTCAAGCGGGAGTTCGTCTTCAACGGCCAGAAGATGGAGTATGTCACCTCGGAGGGCAAGGTCAAGGAGAAAGACCCGGGCAACGCGGACCAGGGTCGCAAGAAGGAGAAGCAGATGGAGCTGGACCCGGCGTTCGCACTGCAGGTGGATCCCCGCGATCCGAGGACCACGCGGGGACCGTGCGGGCAGACGCATCGCAAGTACTTCACGGTCAACAACCAGTGGGGCCAGACCAGGACGTGCTATCGGTGCGGGCTGAGGTTGCTCTACGTTCCGACGACGAAGGCGCCGATGACGAACCTCAGCATGCAGCATCCGAAGTTGGTGGAGTCCGGCCTGGAGCTGGTGCGGCACTGCAACCTGTGGGAGACGGCCAATCACGTGCAGGTAACCGCGATGATCAACATCGCCACCTCACTTCGGAGGCTCCCCGGGACCGAGATCCGACACACGCCGGATGCGCTGCTGGAGATGTTGGGGGCAGCGAATCCCAGGCGCAAGGTCCAGATGGCCGAACCAGTACCCGGGCCAGTCTGAGCCGGGTGCCGAGACAGCTTCTGACGGCCGGACGCCGCAGGACACTACTCGCAGGACTGGCTTTGGCCATGACCGTGGGTACGATCACCGAGGCAGTGGAGATCTGCTGCCATCCCAACAGCATGCTGACCGACGAGTGCACCAACATCGGCCTCAGCATGGAGCGGATCAGCATCGAGAACGGCTACAACCTCAGCACGAAGACGGGGTTCGAGGCCGCTAGCAAGAAGCTGGACGAGGTGATGCCGAAGAGGGCTTGGATATCGCTACCATGCACACTATGGACTTCGCTTACGAACTTCAACTACAAAACACCAGAGGCACGTGCACGCCTCGAGAAAGACCGACTTCGAGACAGACGACGTGTGAAGTATGGAGTTCTCCTGTTGCTAAAGATTGTTGACAACGGAGGCGAGGTCTACTTCGAGTGGCCTCACAGGTGTCAGGGCTGGAAGATTCCCGAGCTCAACTTTCTACGTACAGAGTTGAGGCGTCGGGGACGTCACGTCTTCGAGGATCGGATCGACGGGTGCATGTACGGCCTCAGGGACTACAACACCAACGAGCTCGTCGAGAAGGGCTGGAGGATCATGACCACCGACCCGGAGTTCTCTAAGGTCGCGACCGTATGTGACCACTCACACGGCCACCGAGTCATCAGCGGGAAGCTACACACTGCAGCCACAGCCTACTACCCACAGGCGATGTGCAAGGCAATTGCCCGGCTATGGCATGCTCAACTCCGGACCCCGATCGACCTCAATATGGCCCTGGAGAACCCTGCTGTCCACGACCTCGAGAATGCCTACCTGATGGAGCGGGACACCGGGAGCATCTACGTCGCTGAGCCCACGGATCCCGAAAGGGAACAGGTGCGGGCGATGTTGAGCAGGATCCACAAGGCTGCA